CAATAAAAGCTGACTTATTTTATTAAGGAAAGGCAGAACACCAGACACCAGAACATCTCTCAGAAACGACAATAGGAGTAAACCCGATTTAATGTGCCAAGCGAAATTGTTTGTTTTATGAATTAAAAGCAAACAGAAATTGTTATTGCAAGGGAATAAAATCAAATATAAAGAGTGTTTTATTATGATCCTGTATAATAGCACACAAACTGCGTACAATTGTGTAAAAATTCATTTTTCTTTTGAAATCATAAAACATTAATGCCTTTGGGATACAAATACTTGAATGCAGAGAGTTGATCTTGTTTTTCCATTATAGATATTGAAAAAATTATATTAGAGCACTGCGAGCAGTAAAAGACTACTTAAGAAAACTGTCGAAGAATATATCATTCAAATATTTGAAAGAATACGAAATTTTAGGTCAGACTTACAGCGCCCATGACCAACGAGAGGTTTCTTGACAACTGCATGCTATGATACCCAAAGGGAGATATTTATAGAAGCAGAACTTTAGAGCCAAATGCTGATTGGTCATAATCAACCAATTAATTTAATAGTGAAAGCTTCATAAAAATGTAATAAAAAGCCGAGAAAATACATTCGAATACCAAAGTCGCATACCAAAGTCGAAGCAAATAAAACACAGAAACTGTAGTTTTTCAGCAAAAAGCAAAGTTTCGCGCAATTGAGTTTGATAAGATTTATTTAAAAATTCAAGGTAGAATCAAAAATAATATTTGTTTATTTGGAGAGTGCGATATTGAGAAAAGATCTGTGTCCACATGAGTCAGTATGGTCCACTAGTCGTCTAACCATCGGCAAAAAAACAAAGCTTTATAAGTCCTTAAGAAAATGGTAAGTTATTGGTCGGTATAAGCCCTTTTTTCCTAGTTAGTTGTTGCTGTGAAAGCCACTTAAAGGAAAGTTTTGTAAACGCCATAGAAGCTAAGAAACGCTTTTCTGATGCAAATTTATAAACGTTTTTAAATCGCGACAAGTGTTAGGACTTTTTAATTGCCGTAAGCCTGCCAACACATGAACTCGCAGTCACAAAAGTCACATACATTAATAAGGAATTGTTAGGAAGTTGTATATGATAGAAACAATAAGCGTTAATATCAATTGATGATGCCAGTTAAGGTGGATATTTTAATTCCTTATGTGCATGAAACCATCCAAAGTAGCGATATTTACCCGTAGAATTACTTAGCAAAATCCTTTAGACGGTTTGTCACATCTGAAGATAATTTCCTGTATAGTTTATCTCACCATTTATGTCCACCAATGTATTGTTAACGAGGTCTATTGGTTGTCCCAAGAATGACGATAATTGCCCATGTACCCGGAAAATGAGCTGATTGACATTCAAGTGTGGAGGGTGACAAGCACTAAATAAAGAAAAACAAACACTATGAATACATTTTAAGAAATCAGTCAAGTTCTTAAGCAACTTCCCATAAAATACTATACTAATTTATCAAAATAAGAAATTGATTTCTCAGGCTTTGCCTGTGCGACTGTCAAACATTTACAGGTTTGCGAGTCAGGGTGCATTATACAGGAACCAAGCATCAAGGCAAAACAAAAACGTATGTGTGGTTATAGCTCTATATGACCGTTTTGTATATAGCATCTGCTCCTTTATCCTATACATCCGACGAGCAATTTATTTTCGCAAAATTCAGATTTTAAATATGGATTCTTAATTACGGTTTGCAAATTTTAATTTTTTTATGGCACTACTTAGCATTTTGACCGATGTCCCTGAATTTTTATTCGTTGTACCTCATATAAAGCCTTCAGAGAATTGTGTTTTATTTAAATTTAAGATAACTGGACACAAATCGAGTACATTTTAGACATGAGGCCCAGAAATACCCAAGGTTATCACTTTAAATGACTAAGTACGGAATTTACCGACAAATATGAATGACCTGTTAACAATTTTGTGCCGCTGCATTTGCTCCTCTGCGAAAGTTTTTCAAGTCACGTTCTCATATTTTTATGCAAATAGTTTTCTTTTATCGGAAACATTTAAATCAGCAAACTGTTTTGACTAAATCGGGATATCGGTTCAGAATTACTTACAAATATATGTTAATTTATATTTCTGATTTTACAACATACGTGTTTTTTTCCCTTGTGGTATGAAATAAGATAGACGAGTTAAGACAAACTTGGTTATTGTAAAAGTTAAACGCTTTAATTAAAATACATTACTTCTTTTTACTTCTTTTTAGTGGAATACCTTTTGACATGCATATTGCACTGATTATTTTTGTATTTATTTTTTTACTTATTTATTTTGTAGTCATCCTGTAAGAAAAGCAAGAAGTTGGGAATGTTTACCAAATTTTCCTCATATCCGAGTTACTTCACCTCTGTGCGAGCGTTTCATTAGGCAACAACTTTAAAAATAGTACAGGATGCCCCCGTAAAAAATTTTTCTGTTTGAAACATGCAGTTTCCGTCGTTGATATTATACTGTCGCCAGGAGAGGGTAATTGTGACAGTTAAAAACTCGTAATTCTGAGTGAGGTTGAACCTTAAACTTGGCACGCAGTGAAAATTTTCTATGATGAAATATGATAACATATATATTTAAGAGTGACTTTACAGATGCGGGAATCGCATTGTTCTCTCTGGCATAATATTCATAAAGGATACAGTACTTTAGACCTTACCTGAGAATGGAATTTGAAAATAGAACGCTATGTAGACAAGGCTCTTTGTTCCATTAGGATGTATAGTGTATACTGACCTTACCTTTAGAGGATTATTAAGACTTTGACCGGAAGGATCGAGGATAGATATAATTGTGTATGAGAGCAATCTGCGCCACGCTCATATTGTAAGAAATTTTAACGCTTTTTCATTTGGTCTGCTACTATGCTGAGCGTCCAGCCAGTCGAGAGGCCAAAACGGCAGACAAAACAAAAACAAGGTACCTGTCAGCAATATCTACGATGCAACCACTGACACTAAATGTGCCGGAATTTCAGGCAAAACGCCAAAGTCTGCAGTAGATTGATAATCACTCGAAAAACCGGCAAAAACGCAAGGACGAAAGCTTAAAAAATACGAACAACCTTTGGAGAAATTTTACTTAAAAAATATAAAAAAATACATCTTTTTAGTTAAGAAAAATAAAAGTGCTGAAGAAATACTCAAGTTTTAAGGCGTTGAAATGGCTATAAATTAGAACGTTGAATTAAAATCTAATAGTCAATTGAATGAGTAACCATTCTACCTTTTCCTTCCTTTCCTTTTTTCAAAGGTAAGTCTTAAGTGAAAATGGACACAATTTTGACAATTTTAAAATATACTTAAATGATACAAGTTTGGCAGGTTATAAAAGAACTTACTTTTTTTCTTATGGACCACAGTATTTTTCGTCATATGTGCTTATTTTAAGGTCTCGTTCTAAGCCTGCAACTGTGAAAGGGAGTGCCAAATACATACTGGGATTTTGCGGAAATTGATTTTTTTTCTGTCTGTTCCGTTTCGACATTACGCAAAGCTCAATTTAAAATTTTTATAAATTATCTCCCTCAAAATGTAATAGAGTGGCTTTCGCGTGCTTGAAGTGTGAGAATATTACCATTTACCTTCATGTACACAATAATATGTATGCCGTTTTAAGTTACT